TAAAACACATGAAACTAATAGTTTTTTAGTAGATCTCTCGGTAGTTGTATCTTTTCAACCGTAGCTCCGATTAGCGTGCTCTACGCGTCTGTGTATTCGTAGCGAGACGTAGATTCGTTTTACAAACTTTTCATTTTGATTTTATGTTTGGTGTACTGTTCTGATTTAGTTCTATTGTTTGGTTTGTGTATGATTGTATGGATGCTTGTGTGGTGCTTTATGATTACGTCTAGTCGGTAAGATATACGTGGTGATCAAGAAGAAGAAGAAGAAGAACGTTGAAGATTAAAGCTTACCGAAGGATCGGTGTTTTAAGGCAAGTATAGCATGGGATATTCCTTGTTACTTATTCACCTTTAATCATTTAATTCATATTGCATGTGCCTACCTTGACTACCACTAAGGATATTCTAGTCTTTTGTACTGTACTTTGACGCTTTGGGTTATTGCATTGGGTAGTATGATGCTAGTGCTCGACTAAAGCCATGACCTTGTAACTTGACTAATGTAATATGCAATAAACACTAAAAGATATTTTTTAGCAACATAGAACAAGGGGGCTAGAGCATTGGGCTATTTTATGGTCTCTTCCTAAGGACTTATCTATAAGTGATCATCCGGGACTTACAGTATAACTGTGAGGGCTATATGGCTCTGGCTTTAGCTCAGTATGAGGACCTTTTCTAGCTTGTTAGAGGTTATCTTTATTGGCGTAAGAATGACTTGCCGAATCGGATATAGGATAGCCTCTATCCCCTTGTGTATAGGCTGCGTGTCATTGTGCCATCGGGAAGAAGGGTTCCTATATCTGTTTGTCGAGTGAATCTAATGGCCCTAACTTGTTAGACGAACCTTTGAAAGGCTTCATAGTGAACCCTGCCGACCTTCCTTGAAAGTGGGTCAAGAGATTAGCTACCTCGGACGAAACGGTAAATCACGACTCACAGTGAAAGTGTACAACCTCTGCAGAGTGTAAAACTGGTATATCAGCCGTGCTCACGGTCACGAGCGGCCTTGGAACATTTACGGAATAGGTGATGAACACAGATGATACTGATGATGAAAATGCTCACTAATGATTACTGTTTATGCTATTCATTATTTATGTTTACCTGATCATGTGTTTATAGGCTTGTGATAGACTTGTTGCTACTCAATTGCTAAAATCATGACTCATTAAAAGCTAATCGCAGTTAAACCAGTGTCAGCCTTTTGAGCCTCATGGACCCAATGTTATATTTGTTGAGTACGACATGTACTTACGCTTGCTTTATTTTTTTCAATTATTTGGATAAAATTTCCGGATAGGTACCAGATTGCTAGAGTTTGGAGGAATTAGGCTTGTGATCAACCAGTCAGTTGTCCCTGTGGAATTGGAGTCTTCACCCAAAGATCGGAGTTGTCTTTCTGCTGTTTGCTATCTAAGGTTATATTCTTTATACTAAGTACGTTATATATTGAGTATTGTCTATTGATATTACCTTTATTTGTGGCTATATGTGACATTTGACTTCCTGGGCTCACATATGATGTGTATCTGGTTTTGTCTTTAAAACCGGGTGTTACAGGGATTTTTGGGTTGTTGCAACAGATGTTTTCCGAATGGTCCCATTTTCCATGTTTCATGGCTGATTTTGCAATGTTGCAGTACACATTTCCCGATGTTGCAGCGCATAGTTTTCGATGTTGCAGTACATAATTTTTTATGTTGCAGCACATAATTGTTCGATGTTGCAGTACATATTTTCCGATGTTGCATTACATGTTTTTTCGATGTTGCAGTACATGTTTTTGCGATGTTGCAGCACATAATTTTTGATGTTGCAGTACATGTTTTTCGATGTTGCACTACATACTTTTTGTGATGTTGCAGTATTCATATTCTATGTTGCACTACATAGTTTCCATACGTTTGCGATGTTGCACTTAAAGTGTTTTCGTGCACTTGTGACAGGGGGCGCGGTGGTGGAACGGCCCGGGGTGACGCAGGGGGGGTTTGGGATGGGCGTCGGACACGTCTCGCGCGCCGGACGTCCGGGCGCTAGGATTACCATTAAAAAATCGTATCATTTTTGTATGATGTCCGATAAAGATATTTTGTATACTAGAATTGTAGCCATGGATGAAGTCTACAAACTTCTAGTTTTGAATTTGTCATTTGAAGTCGTTAAGATGCCAAAAAATAATTAAATGTTTCATTAGAATATTAATCGCATTTTGTATCAAATTTTTAAAAAAATGTAAACAACTTTAATAAAAAATCTCAAAACTAGAAAATTATAGACTATTGAGGACTACAGTTTTAATATACAAAGTATCTTTATCCGACATCATACAAAAAGATATGATTTTTCGAAGTCCTGAATGTTTATATTTTTTAGTATTTAATGGTCTCAAATGAAAAAACTCAAAAATAGAAAGTTGTAGATCTCACCAAAGTCTACAATTTTCATATAAAAGTTATCTTCGTTCGAGGTCATATGAAAAAAATATGATTTTTTAAGGTGCAAATTTGTCTGTGACATGTGAGACACATCTGTCAAACCCATGTCATGTAGGATAGCGGGTGGGCCAATTACTCATTTGGATCTGGATGAGACCCTTTACAACTTTAAGGAGCCAAAAATGCATTTTGGAACTTTAGGGACCTAGATGACACTTAGACAACTTTAAAACCGCTGGTGAATTTTACTCTTTGTGTGTTTATATGAAGGAGCACGGTCTAAAAATAAAGCTTATCTCACAGAGAAGAGGAGGTCTATAAAGAATGCACAAGAATTATTCTATGGGGCAACAAGTCGAGCTGATTCCAACAAAGTCAATACAACTCATGAAAAATGTAATGTAATTGAAGCAACCTATTTCAACAACATCTCGACGTAGATCAAATGGGATGGTAGATAAAGTATTGTTGCCCTTAGAAACTAAAAAATGTCCGATGTGTTGTTAATATCCTCGCCATTAGACATTTTTGTCCAATAGGGTGTTTTGCATGTAAACTTTGCCAAAAGGCCGGTTAGGGGTATATATTGACGACGAAAATTGGCAGATACTAGGTGGTCTAGGAAAACTAGGACATTTGGTTTCCAAAACAAGGACGTCTTATTCTGAAGATGAGCTGCAGTTACCATATGGACTTAACCATTGCATAGCTCTCATCAAGGTGATCAAAATGCTTGTGTGGGTAGCCCAATTTGGACTTTGGATAAGAGAGTTATGGTTATTGAAAATGTACGTGCTCATGAAAACTTGAGGGTCTAGTTTTTGCTAAGCAAATTGGGTCTTCAGTCGGTTCAAGTTTAAATACTAATGTACTCGAACTCTAGCACAAAGAAAGATCTCAGAAGCTATAAATCTGAAAGGCCAAAGCTGATTGAGGCACACCAAATGGATAAAAACGATCTGTTATCTTATTTGCATTTCTATTCTACTCTTTTTATCCTAATCTCCTCTAGACCCTGGATTGTTATTCTCCTTTCGTCTAGACCACTATTGAATATGCTCTTGGTGGTCTACTACTCCTCTGTCGTGAGCATTCGTCGGCACTCTAAGGAAAAGGTACTCTCTCCGTCCCATTAAAAGAGTCATTTTAGGATTGGGAGGGAGTACCAAAAAAGAGAAAAAAAATATATGCATGCCCCTACTTTTACAATTATTACTGCACTGGTGGTGTATAGAGGACATCAATGCTACCATTGCTTGCCATACGAGGACCGCCATGACGCCAAGAAGCTCACTCTATAGCGTTGGCTACTCCTGCCCTCCACACACCGAGGAGTTCCCTACCCCCACCGGTGATGATGGCTGATGCGGAGCTCCCCCTCAGTGGTGAGCCATGGAGGTGCCCTAGTGGCTCGGTGACCCTCGTTATGGGTCCTCCCCGCGCGCTGTGGTCCAATGCCCACCTCCATCTGCAACGTCGGCGCCCCTCTCCTCCCATCCCGCCTGCTGTGTGGGCATCTACCGCACCATCGATTCATTGGTGAGACTGCAGATTGGTGGCGTAGATCCATGGAGGAGACAGTGGTGGAATCGCTAAGCACCGGACAAGGCCGCCCATACTACAGTGGAGGATTTAGACAGAGGGTCGGCATGACGACACGCGGGGGGAGGGAGAAGTTGGGTCCGCCTCACATTGCGACACAAGAAAAAACTAGTGAGCATAGCACACAAGTAAAACAACCATGTATTTTCGGCGACATGTGGGCTATTCTGCTGTGCTTGTTCCTGGAGATTTGCCTCTACGTCAGAGACATACAACATGCCCATCTGGCCGCAGGCAGGTGCAGCCTGCAGCTACGGCGTGCTCGAGCATGCCTAGGTGTACCACACGATTCCTCACATATTCTGAGTTCTTTGTCGCCACTACTCCTAGATCAGAGACACTCTGCAACTGCAAGACACCACCATCTCCAATTGTCCATGTTGTAGACACCAAACACTATTCATCAGGCCTTTGTCAGAAAATAAATGGAGAAAAAGTAGACTTGTGGCTATCATGTGCATGAATGGAACCATCATGCTGCGATCCCCGCTAGAGACCAGACGGAACAAGACCTTTTGGGGCGGGCGAAAAGGATACCCATCATCTATATATTCATGTCCATTGTTTCTCAGAGGAATGAAATCATATCCATTCTTGTTCGTTTGTTAAAAAATCTTTGCTTTATTGAAAGGTTGTATTACTACCGGTAGGCCACCGTACGCCTGCAGTGATTGGCTACTCGTATATACGCTGTTGAAGAATATATCGGATAACAATCACAAGTGAAGTATAATATGTAAATGTATACTACGTACTCCGTAAAACAGTAGGGCATTTCTTATATAAATGCTCCGATCCTGTCAAGTGAAAAAAAGAAAACTGAAGGAAGGAAGGAATTTGCTACCCAAATATTTATATTTTCTTGGTCTTTCAACACAACTCTTGCTTTATGTGCAAGAATCCAAGACACAAGTGAACACTTAAACAAGCAAAGATAGTATTGATATCAATGCAACTAGCTAAAGCCAGCCTCCTCCTGAATCCTCCCCAGAATCTCATGCACTGCAGCTGCAATCTCCTCCACAGAGCCGAGCTTGCATTCATCCTCAACCTGGAATTAAATCCAAGCGTGAGGTTAGTCAAATCTCAAATAATCAGAGGCACCACACCGATTGATCATTAGTACACAAAACGGAGTAATAATATATCTAGTATGGCACGTTGACAACTAGTAGAATGATTAGGTACTGTGTCTGTGTATAATACAGTATTAATTAACCGTTCGTCACTGACCTTGAGGCTGAAGGCGTACATGACCATGGTATCAGCCGTGCTGACGTTGAGATGCAAGGTCGTGAGGCCGAGCTGCTGGAGGCCGGCCGCCAGCCTCACCAGCTGCCTTGGCCGCCGCGCGGCCTGAACCTTGACGCTGGCGTGTCCATCCACCATGCTTGCTTCAATGTCGGCGGTTACTGACGACAGTGACAGGGAGCTCCCGTCGGACGTCGACGAGTCCTCCTTGATGGTGCGGTCGCCGGCGCCGCTGCGGGAAGCAGAGAAAGCGGAGGAGTACTGTGGAAAGCTGAAGAAAGCAGCAAAGGGATTGGACGGTTTGCTTTTGCCGGTGTGCTCCTTTAGGCTCCTTTGCACCTCAAGGGATTGGAGCAGCTGCTCAAGCTCCCTCACGTAGTTGATTGCTCCCCCAACAATCGACGCTTGATCGCCCTAAAACAATTTTAGAAAAAAAAAGACCAGATCGAAATGTGATAAACCTAAATTAATTAATGAAAAAAGAGAATGTAGAACAATATTTTATTATGAAACAAATAAAATGAATATATACCCTTTGTGCATAGGACGGTGGCATCAGGGAGCGGAGCACGGCGAGGTACTCGTTCATCTGCCGGCGGCGGTTCCGCTCAACGGCAATGTGAGTCATCCGCTGGCTCTCCATCTCCTCCTCGTTCTTGACGACCTTGGCCCGTCTCCTCTTTCTCTTGGTCGTCCTCGTGACCGGCGATGATGGTGGCGGCTCAATGGCCGACGACAGCGCCACTTCGCGCTCCGGCGAGGCCTTATTGAAGCCCACCACCTGCCCCCACTCCTCGGCATTGTGCACGAGGGAAGCGAGCAGGAAGGGGTCCCAGTCGCCGGCGTACGGTACATGGCTATCTCCATAGCCGCCGGTCGCATCTGACAAAAAAGGTGGCCCGTAGGAGCAGTCCCTGTGCCCGTAGCCGAAATGGCCTTGGGGTTGGGACGGATGCACCACGGCATCCAGCAATGCCATTATTTCCAACGAATAAAACAAGCACAAGGACACACGGGAACAAACGTACTATAGGCGAACACCAACAAAGAGAAACAGACGCGGAGAAGATGGCGCGGGCTAGGGCCTAGGGCTACCACACGTACGTACGAGGCTAGCAGAGAATGAGTGTGGCCTATGAGGAGCGAGGGAGGGAGGAGGCCTGGTGGTTTTTATAAGGCCACGGAAGGTGGTGAGGAAGACACGAGGGGCCAGCCAGCAGGTGAGGTGAGGTAGATGGGGATGCCTGGTTTTTGTGCCTGGGGGGAGTGACACCCAATGATTTAAGTGGCAACTAGCTACAAGAGAGGATTCGTTCATTTTCGTTTCCTTTGCCTGGCTTCTTCTAGGTTCTTTCGCTAATTTGTTACTGTTGCGTGGTAGCAGCGATGAATGGTCATTACTTCATGCAGTTGCTTGCTCTGATCATGAAAAAAAATGTTTCCTTAACAAACCACATACCAATAGCACAATTTTTAATTATATTAAAACTAAACTTGGCAATAATTTTATATGTTCTCATTGTGGATAATTTTATACATCTTAACTCAAACGTAATGATATATATAAATACTAGTACTTTATTCTTTATTTGAACTCTATTTTGTTAAAAAAAACATCAGTGCTACACATATAATAAAGTGATAGAAAAATTAAATATTTTGAGTGCCATTGTGTATCCTGAAACGACTCCTTATATGCCACTGTTGTAACTAAAACCAGAGTCTAGGACCTAGAATCTATTTTCTTAATAAATATAAAAGACATTAGGAATAAAATATACAATAAGCACTATAGTTTGAACATAACTCATGGGTAGAAAAATTGCATCAAATAAAAAGATCAAAATTTGAAAGCCAAAATATGATTTATGTTGTCACAATTAAGGATGGAAGAAAAAATTATATAACTTAATCTAAGGTCTCAACTAATTAAATATTAGAACCCACTGAGCTCCAATGGAAAAGATCAAAAGACGTACATATAGAATAATTGATAAACTTATCATAATAGGGTAGAGATTATAGGGTATAATTAATAATGGTATTGTGTTAGGAAATGAATAGAAATGGAGTAAGGATAATCAATTTCAATTAGTTGCACCTACAAATTAAAGTTTACCCATAAAACTTTAATGTAATATTCTAGACCATTAGAGCACGGGTTGATGTGCTAGTAACAAGAAATTAAGATAGGATGCATGATTTCCGGTGGTTTATTTGATATACTAAAACAAGGTAGAAATTAAATCATATTGCTAGTGTGCATTTACATTAATATTTATCAATACAAGTTTCGTTGCCTTACTTATTGTTCCTATTTATTTCTGGATTGCAAAAACTTCATCTCCCACCAAATTGTGTTTAGTGCCTTTCATACATTTCCTTTTGATTAAATAAACTTGGAGGTAGAGTCCAGTGAATACATATGATGTACACAAGTATATGCCAAATGGTTGTCGATCATGTGGAAGGTATATAGTAGGTGATTCCATGCCAATATAAGCACCATCCAACAACGAGACATAAAGCCCTCTTAGACGAACCCAAACATGGATTCAGTGACAGCACAAGAAGTCGCGCACACAAAATATAGTGGACAAAAGGGTTAGTCTCTACAAAGTATTGTGATTAGATAAAAACAAAATGTACCTTTCTTCCAAGTGGGGATTTGTTTTTAGCCTCTAGTAGAGCAAAATACTAGATGCTTCACTTGATTTTCCATGTGTACAATTACGAAAATTTATGTTCACTAGTGCATCTTCTTTTGTGCATGCGTATCGTTTCAGGGGTGCTAAAAAAGCAAACATTGTCAGAGAGATTGTGTCTCAGCTAAATCAGGCACCTCCATTGTACTGCACCGGCTGCATTTGCTGTGGTACTAGAGCCACGACGAGAATGGACAAACACTAGTTGTGCTGATATAATTTCTGCTCATCGTCTTTCCCTTTGCCTTTTTAGCTAGGGCTATACTGTACAAGATTGTACACCAAATGGTAAGTTTTGTCTTCTTTTTTCAGGACATGTTTTTCATTAAGGCGAAGCTGGAAAACAAAATAAGTTAATGGTACAAGCTAAAGAATCACCAAAATGTATATAGTGACAAGCTAAAGGAAAACAATGCTACTACCATCTATCCATCAGAATACAAGAACAGTAACAAGCCGGTGTTTCCTGCTATAGTCCATAGGTTAGCTTGTCGATTCGCCCAAGCTATTTGGTTAATAACTCAGGCGTTTACCTAAATCTCATAGCATGTCACATGCTTAGCAGTTGGTTAGGAGGGATTAGTAAAAATTTCAAGCCTTTAGTTCTGTTAGGAGCGGCAGCCATGAGCGAACTGTTGGTTACTTTGGTTATGCAGGAAAGAAAAAAACACTCTTCTCCTTTGTAGGTTATTTTCTCTGTTATCCACTGGATTTATATATCTACTATCCTCCAGAAGGTGGTGTTATGGTCAGCTAGGTGTACCAGCACATGAAGAGGACCCATGGCTGAGGCGCGCCGCTGTGAGCTAGATCACACCCAACGCATGGTCACCACCCGGTGCACCGGCCCCTTAGTTGGTTAGCCAGCTCATGTTACTTAGGAGCTCTTTGGTACTAGCTCGATGTTGGCGGTCGTTAACTCAAATATTTTACCCACCAAAGTATATTTAAATGGCAACAAATAAAATATATTTGAGTAAGATAGGCCTTTTATCTAACAAGTTCCACGGGTTTTGGTTCTCTAGACTTTTGCAGGATATGCCAAAATGTGCATCAAAAGATATTAAATAGTACATATATAGTTTGGCGAAAATCAGGAAAAAAGAATTTTGAATTTTCTTTCATAGCAAAACAGTCTCAAACAAAGATTTGGAACGCTCCAGTGCGAAGAGCTCGTCGAGACGATCGAAACAGATATATCATTTGCTATATTTAGAGCTTTTAGTAAAAAGATATTAATTTCACAAATAGTGCAGCCCAATAGTCAACGCCAGCAGGGGCTGCAGTCACCACGTCCACACAAAATGGGCAGCATGCAGCTGGGCCCTGGCTGCTCCCGTGCAGGAACCGACCTCCCCTTGCTCCACCACCTCAATACATGGAGGCATGTAAAGAAGAACAACTCCACTCCATCTCCACCATTCATCTTATGACGGTTTGATCCAAGGGCCATGGTGAAGAAGCACATAGATCGCTGACATGGCACATTGAGTGATTTTCATTCCTACTCTCAAACTATAAATACCCCTTCACTCCCTCTCATTCACGGACACCACAAGGAAAAGCTCCACTCCAAATTTAAAGATGTAGTAGTAGAATAGCTCTAGTTGGAAGTTAGGGAGAGATGCTCAAGTTCCGGAAGAGCCATCGGAGTTCTAGTATAATCTTATATCGGTTCTTTTTAAGACACAAGTATTTCATATATTTATCTTCTTCAATTACTTAAATATCTTTCATAGTTATCTAGATCATGCCTTAGTAGCTTAGCTAAGTACAGTTAGTATAGTGGTTTACACCTTGGCATGAGATCTCCGCTCGCCCCAAGTGCTCTAGTTATTATGTGGCTAGAGCAGTAATCAATAGTGTAGACGTGGTGTCTAGACTATAGATTACCTGAGTTTGCGTTGTAGGGTCGAGATGGCGGATTAGAGGGGGTGAATAGTCCTTTCTAAAATTAATCACGCCGGCTAACCGAAATAAATGTGGAATTAAAACTAACGGTCTAGCCAAGATTACAACCCTCTATCTTAGTTTTCAAGCACCTTATCAAGATCCTAATTAGGTAACAAAGGTGCCGGGCTTGCTAGAGCTCACCTAACAATTCTAGCTTGCAAGGTCACACAAACCTATGCAACTAGTACTTCAAACAACCGGGGGAGCTCCTACACAACTAGTGATGCAAAGCGCACAAAGCTCCTAAGCTCACTAGCATTGCTCAATAACAAGGCTACACAAGTCAAATTAGAGAGCGTAAATTACTTAGCTACACAAACTAAGCAATGTGACCAATAAGGTTACTCAAACCGAATTAGTCACATAAGGGAGCTACTTCTATGCTACACAAGCAAGAAGGTAACTAGCAAGCTACACAAGCAAACTAAGTCCCTGTTTGGTTGAGCTGTGGCTGTGGGAGAAAGCTGCTGTGGGCTGTGAGCTATGGAAAAGCTGCTGTGGGTTGTGAGCTGTAGAAAAGCTGAAAGCTATTTGGTTAAACAAGTATAAAATATATCTTTTATCTTTATCTCTCTTGAAACAACTATGGAAGAGCTTTTTATTCCACCAATTTCGAAAAGCAGAAAGCCAAAAGCCAAAAACAGGGTCAAACCAGCTTTCAAAAATGAACTACGAAAAAGCAGCTGCTTCTGAAAAAGCACCCTCCAAAAGCAGCCCCTTTGGTTGGGCTTTTGGCTTTTGGGGCCAAAAGCCAAAGCCAAAAGCCCAACCAAACAGGGCCTAATTACAAGAGCAACTACACAAGCACAATATATATGAAAGTAATTGCAAGCATGTGTAAAGGGGATGCAAACCAACGGAAAGACAAGGATGACACGGTGATTTTATCCCGGGGTTCATGTGCTTGCCAACACACTAGTCCCCGTTGTGTTGATCGCTCACTTGGTGGTTCGGTGGCTAATTGGCATCACTCGCCAAGCCCGCATGTCGGGCACCGCAAGAACCTACCCCGAAAGTGAGAGTAGATCAATGGCACTCTCTACTGGTGTTGCTCTTCGCGGCTCCCGCGGGGTGGGCACGGTACCCCTCACAATCTTCCTTGCGTGCTTCGACAAAGACCATCACCAAGCCGTCTAGGAGATGGCAACCTCCAAGAGTAACAAGCACCACCGTCTTGCAACTCGATTACCTAGTGCCACTCGATGCACTCCCACAATGCAATCGCACTAGAATCGCACTCACACTCAATCGGATGATCACGATCAAGCGTATGTGAGTTAGAAGGCTCCCAAGCACACGTACACAAGCCACCAAGGCTTAA